TCCTCCTGGCACATCGAGTTCCGTAGTTTTGGTTGCTCATCACTCTCGTCTACAGTAATCTCATGCTCTGAACTCTGCACGTCTTCTGGCTCCTCCTCTTTTTTCACGTCTTCTGCAGCTGCTTCAACGGCGGCAGGGACGTCGTCTTTTTTCACTTCTTCTGGAGCTTTCACGGCTTCTGAATCCTCCATTTTGTCCACGTCTTCTGGAGTATCCTTAGATTGCTCATCCTGCTCCTCCTCCTCAAACTCGTCCTCGCCTTCTGGCTCTTCTCCTGCTCCTCCGCTCGAATTCTTCTCTTCTGGCTCCTCGTCTTCTGGCTCATCGACAATTTCCAGACATTGCGAATCGTCCAATCCTTCGTTTTCGACTAAATTCTCCTTACAGTAATCCATTGCTCAGTCTCTAGGCTCAAAATAGACCTAAGAAGCCCCTAAAAACCCTAAAAATGCTCACCATTCTCCTGTCCTTCTCCTTGAATCGTAGTCGACGTCTTCTGATCCACAGCATCCCCAGACTCTGGATTATTATTTTGAACACTCATTACGCCTCGTGTTTGGACGCAGCAGCTCGGAGTACTGTCACCAGCGAGAGCCTGCAAACATTCGGAAATTTGAGGATTTTAGAGCAATTATAGGTAGATTTTCAGCTAAAACCCCAAAAATACATCAAAATCGGCCGAAAATAGCATTTTTGGGCAGTTTGAAGCCATTTTGACAGATTTCAAAGAATTTCAGGATCATTTTCGATGTTTTTGAGCTTATTTTAAAACCTTTTCAGGCCATTTTAGACCCATTTTAGGGCAATTTTAGACATCATTCCAACCAAAAATGCCCAAAATAGTCTATTTTAGACCGTTTAAAGCCATTTTTCAAGGTTTTTCGTACGTTTTTTTGACTATATATATTCGAGTATTCTCATTTTCGATCATTTTCAGCGCTTCTAGAAACGTTTTTGACTGATTTTCACTAGAAAAACACTCTTATTCAAATTCTGTGTCATTTTTAAGTCCAAAATGCAGGAAAATCGACGAAAATCCGATAAATCACCACGAGATAATACACACTTGAAGCAACTCGAGTGCTCTCCACGTTGTCAACAGAGCGCATTTGCATAGTAGGTAGCAGAGTGAAGGAAAAAGTGCTGGCAAAAGGTGAAACTCTAGAAATTCGCTTCGAATTTCAAAACTTCAGAATTCCAGAACCTCAGAATCTAGATAATTCAGAATCTCCGAGTTTCAGACACTTAGAATTTCGGAATTTCAGATAAGTTGCTCAGCATAAGCAGATGTCGGACGTCTAGCGGCTATGGGCCGCAGCCAACAACCTTGTGGAGATCCCCCAGAGCTCCAAAAATGCTCCAGCTTCCGGATTCCGGTACTTCTTTAGGATCAGTTCCTCATTATATGCTAATGGCGATCTAGTAGCGGCTCTGAGCCGCTTCCAGCAGTCTTTCAAATCCCCAAAGCTCCAGAAATGCGCCAAATATCGTTGGAATCGTGCCAAAATTCTACAAAACGCTCCAGACTCCAATGCTCCAAATTTCGAAAACATTGTGCCAAAATGCTGAACTTCTTCAGGAATGTTCAAAAATGCTCTAAAAATGCTCCAGACAAAGATAGAGCAACCTTTTGGACCCTACAGAGCTTCAGAAGTGCTCCAAATGATGTAAGCATTGTGCCAAAATGCTCCAAAACTCTCCAAAAGCCTCCTCGATCTGATTACGGCCGCCTAGAAGGATTGATCGGTCCATGGAGGTCTGTCCATGGTCTGAGCCGCGGCAAGAAGCCTGTCAGAATGGTGCAAAAATGCTCCAATTCCTCCAAAATGCACCAGACGACGATCCAGCAACCTTCTGGACTCCAAAGTTACAGAAATGCTTCCAATGCTCCAAAATGCCCATATTCCAATCGACTGCTACTACTTCCAAATGCCTCTCAACTTGATAAATGTGTTTTGATAGTGCTCTCCCAGCACCCACCACCCCAAAAAAACAGCACAAAGAGCATCTTCTCCCCGTTTTTTGCCAATTTCTTTTGTTTCTAACTCTGCGTCTCCGTCCCTTTCTCTAGACGAGCATCCCTAGAAGATGTGATTCATCATTTCTCTCCTCCTCCTCCTCCTCCACTGCTTCTGGCGATGTCAGATGAAGAAGAAATATATAGCCTTGTGGTGGTGTGTGTGTACACAAGGAGAAGGCCTTCGAAGTTTTCTGGCTCCATTTTGAGCCAGAAAAAATGAGAAAAAAGATGACGTGGGGGGCGTTTTTGATGAGAAATTCTGATGACTGGAAAACGCGCTGGCTGAAAATGAATTTCAGCGAAAACAACAACGCTGAAAATGAGGGCGAAAATTTTTCTGACACCAGAATCGGGGCGTTTTAATTTCCAGAATTTTTTCAGAATCTTCCAGAATCCAGAAGACGTGGCTCTTCTTCTTTTTGCTATTCCAACGTTTCTGCATCGGTAAACACTTGACTTTTCCTTTTTCTCCAACTTTCTTCCCTCTAGCTCCCGAGACGCAGGCAGAAAGTGGGCGTGGCCTAAAAGGCCTGACGTCTTCTCCATTCCTCTTCCCCCCCCCCCCCCCCCTTCTCTTCCTTATTCAGAGTTCCTCTCACTTATTTTCTTTTGCAAAAAGAAAGGAGGATGCTCCAGGAGCAACAAATCGCTCAAATCATTTGTGCACACGGCGCGACAATCACCACGACTCGAGCTACACTTCAGAAGGCACCCAACTCCCTTCTGACGACGTCTCCTGACGCCACAGCCAATTCAGATGAGAAGCTGGTTCGGATTTTGGTCGAGGCGCTTCGCCGCCACGATTTGTCCATTATCGTCTCGGAATCTTTTGATCAGTGGGCCAGATTGGCCGCGGAGGTAAGCCTAGTATCTTTTAGAGCAATCTAGAAGCGTCTAGGAGAGCTCTAGATGGTTCTAGAAGATTCCGGAAGCTTCTAGAGCCATTTCGAATCGTCTTGAGCCTTCTGGAGCAATTGAGAACTATCTAGGTGGTTTTAGAACCTTCTGAAGGCATCCTGAGCTTCCTAGAGAGCTTTCTAGAGCTTTAGGATGTTTAGAACCGTCGTAAGCCATCCAGAAGTGTCTAGAAAGATCTAGATCGGTCTAGACGATTCCATAGTCTTCAGGAAGCTTTGTGTTGTCCAGACAACGACCAATAAGAACCTTCTGGAGTCGTCCAGATTGGTCGAGAACGTTCTAGAATCTTCTAGAACCATTCAGAATCGTCTGAAGCCTTATGAAACCTTCTGGAGGCATCTAGAGGGGTTTAGAAGCTTCTAAAAGGTATCCGAAACTTCTTAAAACGGTCTATAACGTTTCTAGCGTCTTCTGGATAGTCTGGAGTCTTCTATAAGCGTCTAAAAACCTTTAAATGCTTATAGATTCGTCCAGATGGTCTAGAACGCTCTAAAAACTTCTAGAAGTCTCCTGACCTTCATAAAGCTATCTAGAAGTGTCTAAAGCGTTCTGGAACTTTTTTAAACCATCTAGATGGGTTTAGAATCGTCCAGAACCTTCCTGACCTTCCTAGAATTCTCTCGAATACAGAGTTATCTAGAAGTGTCTAGAATCTTCTACAACTTCACCTGACAGGGCTCTTGACGATCTTGGATCCTTCTAGAATCTTCCAGAAAACGTTACTGCGTTTCTTATGCTCTCTTCGGCTTCTCTTCTGTTTTTGACTCGTTTCTTACGCTCCCAATTTTTTGTTCCATCAGAACAAGACAGCAGAAATAAACAAAACAAAACAAAGAAACGAGTCATGTTTTTTTTTGTTGGCTTCTGGAAGAACATACACACACACACACGACTACATTATGACATGTAGTATAGTGGGAGAGTTCTAGAAGGCTCTAGAAGATTCAAGAAGGTTGCAGGGTGAATCTGAAGATCTCTAGATAGTTCTAGATCTTTCTAAACCCTCCTAGATGACACCAGAAGGTTCCAGGAAGTGTCCTGGTGATTGATTCTAGAACGATGAAAATGACTCTAGACGGTTCCAGAGTGTTCTAGAAGGCGTCAGACAATTCTGAAATGAGCATTGCCTAGAAACCAAGGGAAACTTGACTATTCTAGACATCAATTTCAGCCTCTGTGGGACTTCCAGGAGCTTCCAAGCCTAACAAAAGGTCTTCTGGAGGTTCCTGTTGATGATTCGAAACTTTTAGAATTCAAATTTCCACCTTTCGGGTTCAATTTTCGACAATTTCAACTCAAATTTCAAGACCCAAGAATCTTGGGGACCAAGATGCCGATTTTCCAGGCCAAACGTCTCGGTCTCATCTCGTTCGTCGAGGCCGCCTGTCCTTCAACAATCAGCATTTCGTGTCATGCAGCACTCTCAACTGGCAGGATCAATCCAGAAGTCACGTTTCGCAAGGTATGTGGAATTTCAGACAAATTTTATGCCGTTTCCCCTCATTTTTAACCTCATTTTGGAGCCCATTTTCAGCGATTTTCGGGTCACTCCAGCTCATTTTTCTGGCAATTTTCAGCCTAGAACATTTTCAGATGGCCCTGACAGTGAATTCTAGCCTCTTTCTTTTTTCGGCTGTTCTGTCGGGGCTTATTAGGATGCTTGAAGCCCATTTTCTCCATATTTTCAGCTTCGATTTCAGCTATTTCGCGCTATTTCCAGCCAAAAAGGGATAGAGAAAAGAGCCTTTCCCTTATTATCCGCTTTATGCCAATTTCAATAGATCGCTCTTTTTATCCTTTTCTTCTCTTTTAGACCAGTCATCAAAAAACGGAGAAAAAGAAATAGATGAGAAATTCCTTCGTTTTCTAGAATCCTCTATTTTCAGGTTCTTCGAATCGTGGTCTCCGGCAAAGTGATCATGTGTCGAGCGGTGTTTGGCGACTCGTTGAACGAGTGTCGTGATGGGGGTGGCACCGATTTCGAGATGGATCGATACACATCGAGGTGAGAAAGAGGTCCCACATGGTTCTAGACGGTTCTAGGAAGGTCTAGAAGATTCTAGAAGGCTTCAGAACGTTCTAGAAAGATCTAGATAGATTTAGACGAACGTTAAAGATTCTGGGAGGTTCTAGAAAGTCCTTGAATATGTCAGTGGGTCCTAACAAGCTCTCTAGAAGCTCCTAGAAGGTTCTAGAACGTTCTAGAAGGTTCCAGAACGGTATTGAGGGTTCTGGAGGCTTGAAAATTCAGTAAAACCGCCATTTTGAACTATTCCAAGTTCTGCAAGGTTTCATAGCTTTTAAGACAGCTTCAGGAGGTTCGTTCTAGAAGGTTGGTTCTAGAAGGCTCTAGGAGATTCTTAAATGTTCCGAAAGCTCTAAGAAGGTTCCAGAAGCTTCCAGAACCAACTAGAAGATCCTGGACAATGACAGAAGGTTCTAGAAAAATCTGTGGAATGTCCTAGAAGGCTGGGATCTAGACAGTTCCAAATAGTTCTAGGAGATTCTAGAAGGTTCCAGGGCGGCGTTCTAAACCAATCTATATGGCTCCAGAAGGCTTCCGACGATTCTAAAAGGTTCTAGAAGGCTCTAGAAGAAACTGGAGACTGGAAAGACCGATTTCGAGCTAATCAGAGATCGTTTCTGTTAAAAAATTCTCCAAAATGGCTCTGAAATCCTTTCTCTTCTAGACGAATTTCCAGAATATTCTAGCGATTTCTCATGAAAATGGAGCTTTTGAGGCATACTTTGACTCTCATTCTCCTCCTAAAACCCTCTAAAACGCTTCACAGTGCTCCATTCCTCTTCCAGATTCTTCCTAAAACACTCGAATCTCGAGAAGGCGTTCGATCAGCTGGCCACTGCCGGCTACCGTCTCATCCATTCCAACACCTTCGCACCGTCTCAACACACAACAAAGCATGCGTCAAAAGACGACTCGCAATTCATTCATCACTCACAATTCGTTTTTCATCGCCAGCCAAAGGTAAGGAGCAATGGCTTTTTGGGCTTACATATCAGAGTTTTCCGAGTGACTAGAAAGCTCAGGAGGCTTTTAGAACGTTCTAGAGCGTTAGGGACCCATCTAGACGGCTCCAGAAGATTCTAGAAGCCCTTCTAGCTCTAGGAACCTCTGGATGCCTCTAGAAAGTTCTGAGCCCATCTAGGAAACCAATTCTAGATCGAATTTCAAGAATTTTCGGTTTTTAATCCAAAAAATCCTAGTTTTCTTGGAATCTTAATTGGAAATTTCTAGTTTCCAGAGTGATTTTGGCTCAAAAATATCGAATTTCAGCTTCAAATTCAGCTTTTTTGAGTCGTTTTGTCATAGAACCAATTCCAGCTCAAATTTTGAGCATTTCAGGGTTTTCTAGCCCAAATTTCTCGATTTTTTTCTGAATTTTAGCTTCAAAAGGCTTCAGAATCCAATATTGTTCCAGGGGTCCCAGGTCTAAACTTCCAGATTTCAGCTCCATTTTCAAGTCTTTCCACGGTGATTTAAGGCTCCAAAATCCAAATTTCCGAGTTCTCAGCTTCCCAGAAGCTAGAAAGCCTGCCTTTTCCAGCTATTTTTAGCTCGAAAAACCCAGAAAACCAAGGTTTTCTAGAAGCTTCTTTAGTCCGGAAATGGGTTAAACAGGTGAACTTTTTTCGTCTTGTTCAATCCGCTTAAAAGCTTTTCGTTTCTCTTTTTTTTGGGGGGAAATAGTCTGCCAAATCAAATCACAGATGGGTGGAAGAGAGTGGTCCCCCGTCCACCGGAACGTCTTCTTCTTCTTCTCTTTTCTTCCTCCTAACCCCCAAAAAGAGAGGTTTTTTGAGTTTGGAGCAAGAAGAAGGGGCTAAAAGAAGCCCTGGAGCGAAATTTCTCCTCTTTTTGGGCAGTTTGGGGGATGAAAATCCATGAAAATCGAGATTTTCTGGTTGGAAAATTACGATTTTTAGGTTTCAAATGGCTGAAAATCAGCGATTTTCAACCATTCTAAGTACAAAAATATCGATTTTTCAGGTCCAAAACCTTTGAAAAGACTCTTTTTGGGAGTTTGGGGGATGAAAATTGGAACTTTCTAGTCAAAAAATTTCGATTTTTAGGTATGAAATAGCTGAAAATCAGCGATTTTCTACCATTCCAAGTCTAAAAATTTAATTTTTCAGGTCCAAAACCTAAATAAAAGGTTGTTTTTTAAAGCATTCCAAGTCTGAAAAATCGATTTTCAAGGTCCAAAATCTTTAAAAATGACGATTATCCTCTTCTTTAGGAGTTCAACAGATGAAAATTAGGATTTTCTAGACAAAAAATTTCGATTTTTAGGTCTGAAATAGCTGAAAATCAGCGATTTGTAACTATTTCAAAGTCAAAAACCCTTCAAAACTCAGATTTTTGACTATTTCAAGTCTGAAAAATCGATTTTTTAGGTCCAAAACCTTTCAAAAATAGCAATTTACGACTATTCAGAGTCTGAAAAGTCGATTTTTAGGCCACAAATTGCTGAAAATCAGCGATTTATGGCCCATTCAAAGTCTGAAAAATCGATTTTCAAGGTCCAAAACCTTTAAAAATGACGATTATCCCCTTCTTTGGAGTTCGAGGGATGAAGTATGATACTTTCCAGCTAGAAAATATCGTTTTTTTTAGGTATAAAACCTCGATTTTTGACCATTGCAAGTAGGATAAATCGATTTTTCAGGTCCAAAACTTTTTGAAAATTTGATTTTTGACCATTTTAGAGCAACTTTTGTCAATTTTCCCACAAAAATTCACTCTTTTTGGGAGTTTGGCGGATGAAAATTGGGATTTTCTGGTCGAAAAACACTAATTCGTAGGTCCAAAATAGATGAAAATCAGCGATTTTTGACCATTCCAAGTCTGAAAAATTGCTTTTTCAGGACCAAAACTTTTTGAAAATGCGATTTTTGACCTTTTCAGGTCTGAAAAATCAATTTTCCAGGTCCAAAACCCTTCAAAAACTCGATTTTTGACCATTTTCGAGCAATTTTAGAGTAATTTTCCCACGAAATTTCACACTTTTCCTCTTGAAAACCGATCCGTTGCTTCTCGAATTTCTTCTTTCTGGGACCATAAAAAGTGGGAAAATTAGGCATTCTATTCAGACTCGATTCTGATCAAATTAGGCCTCTTTTTTCTTTGAAAATGCCCAAAAGGAGGGGGGGGGGGGATAATGAGAAAAACGGAAACGGAAGTGTGTTTTTAGACGCTTTTGGGGGAGAAGAAACGGAAAAACGACATTTTTGGGACAAAAAAACATGCAATCTGAACGTTTTGGGGTCAAAAAACTCACTTTCTACTTGTAATCCCAATTTTTTAGACCTGAAAATCGGATTTTTTGGGAAATTTTGAAATTAGACGATTTTCAGAGTGAAAATCCCTGATTTTTCGCATTTTTAGCATGAAAATCGCATATTTTCAGCTCGAAAACCTCTGAAAACATCATTTTCAAGCCAAAAATGGCGAAATTCAAAATTATTGAATTCAGACGATTTTAGAGTCAAAATGTTCACAAAAACCAATTTTTGGGGTAAAATCCCAAATTGTTCGCATTTTTAGCATAAAAATCGCATATTTTCAGCTCGAAAACCTCTAAAAACATAATTTTCAAACAAACCAAAAAATGACCAAAATCGAAGTTTTAGGATTTGGCCGATTTTTGAGTCAAAATCTTCACAATAACCATGGTTCTAAAGTAGAAAACCCTGAATTTTCGCATTTTTAGCATAAAAATCAGATTTTGAAAGCTCTAAAATCACTATTTTCCATATTTTCAGCTCTCGCCACCAACCGACATCTCGCCGCCGCCCAGCTAGATTTTTTCGCTGTTTTTTTCCGGATTTTTCGCTTTATTCTTAGATTTTAAATCAATAAATTCGAATTCCTCACCTTACTGAGTCTTACAATGAGCACAACCTTGACACCTTCCGTGCTCAGACCAAGTTTTTTCAGCTCGCTCTGAAAAAATGATCTTTTAGGCACGACAAATTCGATTTTTAGCCCGAAATCCTCACTTTTAACGCTGGCACAGTCAAATTCTCAACTTGTGTCCCGTTCAGCAGTGGCATATAAGAGATTGAAGAACCGCTGAAAAAAAATTATCTGAATTTTCCAGGTTTTTGATGGGTTCCAGGTGACGGACGGCGGTCTTCAAACACAAAAAATTCGAAATCCACGACCTAGAAAACGTGGAAAGTGCGAAAAAAAGGCTGGAATCCATGGAAATCGAGGGATAAAATGAGTTGGAAAATGAATTGGCTCCGTATCCGGAAACGCGTCAAGAAGGAGGGCTGGCGCGATTCTTGTGCAGGTCTTGGTCCGTGTCCAGTTTCCGGCGGTAATTTGAATTTGGGTTTTTCAAAAGGGGTGAAATTGTTGACTTTTCTTCTTAAAATATTGATGGTTCTTCTCGATTTTTCTGGTTTTTCTAGACCTTTATCTGTTTTTAATCCACAAATTGGCGAAAAATCTGAAATTTAAGGATTTTTTTTGAATTTGATAGATAATTTTCGACTTTTTCCAGTTTTTTTTCATTATTTTCATCACTTTTTTCGATTTCAATCACACCTGAAAACCCTGAAAATCAAATATTCCGGGCAAAAAATCTTGGAAAACTTCAATTTTAGAGATTTCGTCGATTTTTCCCAATTTTTCTGCAATTTCATCATATTTTCGACTATTCCCATCCTTTTCAGACAATTTTCATTTGTTTTTTATATTTTTTCACCCCTGAAAACCCTAAAAGTCAACTTTTCCAACCAAAAATCGCTTCAAAAAACATCGTCCCTATTTTCTCGCTGGACTACGGTCATCGGTGGTGTGTGCACCCACCGCGTTCCCATACACCACGACGCGCAATTGCGGACTTTCCCACGGCGAGGTCATGGGAAAATGGGCATTTTCCCACGGATTGTGACATATAAAGAAAGGGAAAATGATGAAAAAATTTCAGTTTCAACACAATTCTTGGTGAGTTTTTCAGGAATTTTTATTGATTTTTTTGGATTTTTAGGGGTTTTTCAGCTTAAAAAATTCGAAATGTTAAAATTTTTATAAATTTTTTAAATAAATTTTTAGGTGTTTAAAAGCTGTAATTTAAGGCTGAAATTTTGAGTTTTTTGCAGAAAAATTCGTATAAATTTCCGGAAAAAAAAAAGTTTTTCACACAATTATTTTTCCGAATTTTCAGCAATTTTTCAATCTAAAAATCGATTTTCCAACGCATTTTCAGACTAAAAAATGGCAAAAATTCCTCAAAAAATCCAAAAAAAAAAACAATATTTGATCTACCCGGGAAATTTCAAATTTCCTCCAAATTGTTCAATTTTTCAGTGATCATCAAATCAAATCGATTTCTCCTGATCCATAAAAATGTCGAAACAATTCGATTGCTCATTATTGTCAAATTGTCATTCATTTTATATGGATCGTCTTGGAAATATGCAGAATATTCATCAGAATCTGAATTCCACGTCATCTGCATCCTATTCATCTTCTTCTCGGAAACAAATTCTGCCGCTGAAACCGCCGAAAAATCAATATTCACTGCAGCAGTTCCACGATGTCAAGGTTAGTGCATTTTGGGTTGAAAAATCGATTTTTAGCCCAGAAATCGGAATTTGGTCTAATTTTGCTTTTGAAATCGCAATTCTACATCGATTCTAAGTCTAAAAAACCTGAAAAATCTATTTTATTCACCTAGAAAACCGATTTTTCGAAAAATCTGTGCGAAAAATCGATTTTCCAGAGCCAAAAATGGGATTTTCAGCTCAAAATTATTGATTTTTCATGCTAAAATCGCTTTGAAACACTAACTTTGGCTTCAAATTCGGATTTTTCAAAGACAATATACCTAAATTTGATTTTCACCGAGTTTAGCCTATTTTAACCCGAAATTGTTCATTTTTCTGTGGTTAAAATCGATTTTTAGTGATTTTTAGACTGAAAATCAATATTTCCAGTGAAATCTCGGTCAAAAATCGAAGTTTTTCAGCTTTTTTAGCCCTAAAGTCTGAAAAATGAGGGAGAATTCCCCCGCAAATCGACACAAAGCTTAAAGGCGCATGCTCTTGTGAGGTGTTTGGGTCTCGCCGTGAAAACTGAAATAGGCGGGAAATTTGAATTTTAAGGCTGTGTTTTCGAATTTTCATGATTTTTCGGCAATATTTAGGGGTTTCTAGCGTAAAATTGATGAAAATTTTCGATTTCTGACCTAAAGCATCCAGAAAATATCGATTTTTGCGCTGAAAATCATCAAAAAATGTCTGAAAATCGATAAATTTGCAGATTCAAGGACAACAAGCGGAATCTCAGCCACAAATAGCACCAGTGACAGTATTGGCGCTGAAAAAGAAGGAGAAATTGGAGAAGAATGTGGTGACAATGTTGGAATATCGACAGAAATCGATGAATTTCGGAGGAAACGGATCAACATCATCCTATGGTTCTTCTTCTTTGAATTCTCACGAATTTATGCTGAACAATGCTTCTTATCAGAAGAAGAAGAAGAAGAATTCGTCATCTGGTTATCATTCGGATCACTCGATCTCTTCTGATTCCAATTCGAACGACTCCGTTTTCTCGGTTAGTCCTTATTAGGTCACTTTTGGCTATTTTCAGAGGATTTTTGGGCGTTTTTAGGCTGAAAAATACGATTTTCGGGCATTTTTCATCGAAGAATTGCTCAAAATTGGTTATTTTTGGCCTAAAAACCCTCATTTTCAACCAAATTTCCCCCCAAAAAAATCAATAAATTTGCAGAATCTGGTGTACGGTGGATATGACGAAAATGGAAGTGGATCAATGAATGGATTATTGATTGATTCATCGATTCATCACAATCATCACATCGATATGCTTCATTCTCATCCAATTTGGTCCCCTCCAAATATTAATCAATTGATCACTTATCAATAGAACAAAAATCGATAATTCATTATTGATTTTTAAAGAAAATCTAATTATCGCCTCTTAATTATCCACCTAATTACCCCCCAATAATATCCATCCCCCTAATTTGTCAAATGTTCGCTCCTTCCTAAGCCCCGCCCCTTTTTAAATCTACAATAACCTTGCCTTCTAATAACCCCCCCCCCCCCCCCCGCCCATCCCCTTTTGATAAATAAATGCATCCCTTGATTTTTTATTTTGAATGAGAAATTGAAATTTTCAGCAATCTTTTCGAGAAGTTCGATTTTCTATGGGTTTTGGGCATTTTTAGCTCAAAGTTATCGATTTTTTAATGCTAAAATCGCTGTAACACACTAAATTTGGGTTGAAAATTCGATTTTTCAGTGAAAATTAGGACTAGATTCGATTTTCGGTGAATTTCGACCTTTTTTATAGAATTTAGTCCGGTTTTGCCTGAAAATTTCAATTCTAACCCGATTTTAAGCAAAAAAAAAACACCCATAAAATCGATTTTCGGCATTTTCGAAAATTTCACAATAATTGAGAAAAATCGATGTTTCAGAAGGATTTTTAGCTCAAAATTATCGATTTTTTATGCTTAAATCCCTAAAAAACCCTAAATTTAAGTTGAAATTTCAATTTTTCGGTGAATTTGGGCTAAATTTGATTTTCAGCTAATTTCGACCTATTTTATCGAATTTTATCCGAAATTGTCCATTCTTCAGTCGGTAAAATCGATTTTTAGCCTGAAATTAAATATTTTCCGTGAAAATTCACTCGAAATTCGAGATTTTTCCAGTTTTTAGCCCTAAAATCTGAAAAATAAGGGAGAATTCCCCCGTAAATCGACACAAAGCTTAAAGGCGCATGCTCTTGTGAGGTGTTTGGGCACCGCCGCGAAAGTGGAAATTGGCGGGATATTTGAATTTTGAGGCGATTTTTATGATTTTTCAGCAACATTTCGTGTTTTTTGCTGAAAATTGTAGGAATTTTCGAGAAAAATCCACATTTTTTGCAGTTTTATCGCTCAAAAATCAGTTTCCGACCCATTTTTCTCCACGAAAATACCAATTTTTGCTCATAAAATTAAAGAAATTCAAAATTCAAAATAAAAAATCAAGGGATGCATTTATTTATCAAAAGGGGATGGGCGGGGGGGGGGGGGGGGGGGGTTATTAGAAGGCAAGGTTATTGTAGATTTAAAAAGGGGCGGGGCTTAGGAAGGAGCGAACATTTGACAAATTAGGGGGATGGATATTATTGGGGGGTAATTAGGTGGGATAATTAAGAGGCGATAATTAGATTTTCTTTAAAAATCAATAATGAATTATCGATTTTTGTTCTATTGATAAGTGATCAATTGATTAATATTTGGAGGGGACCAAATTGGATGAGAATGAAGCATATCGATGTGATGATTGTGATGAATCGATGAATCAATCAATAATCCATTCATTGATCCACTTCCATTTTCGTCATATCCACCGTACACCAGATTCTGCAAATTTATTGATTTTTTTGGGGGGAAATTTGGTTGAAAATGAGGGTTTTTAGGCCAAAAATAACCAATTTTGAGCAATTCTTCGATGAAAAATGCCCGAAAATCGTATTTTTCAGCCTAAAAACGCCCAAAAATCCTCTAAAATATCCAAAAGTGACCTAATAAGGACTAACCGAGAAAACGGAGTCGTTCGAATTGGAATCAGAAGAGATCGAGTGATCCGAATGATAACCAGATGACGAATTCTTCTTCTTCTTCTTCTGATAAGAAGCATTGTTCAGCATAAATTCGTGAGAATTCAAAGAAGAAGAACCATAGGATGATGTTGATCCGTTTCCTCCGAAATTCATCGATTTCTGTCGATATTCCAACATTGTCACCACATTCTTCTCCAATTTCTCCTTCTTTTTCAGCGCCAATACTGTCACTGGTGCTATTTGTGGCTGAGATTCCGCTTGTTGTCCTTGAATCTGCAAATTTATCGATTTTCAGACATTTTTTGATGATTTTCAGCGCAAAAATCGATATTTTCTGGATGCTTTAGGTCAGAAATCGAAAATTTTCATCAATTTTACGCTAGAAACCCCTAAATATTGCCGAAAAATCATGAAAATTCGAAAACACAGCCTTAAAATTCAAATTTCCCGCCTATTTCAGTTTTCACGGCGAGACCCAAACACCTCACAAGAGCATGCGCCTTTAAGCTTTGTGTCGATTTGCGGGGGAATTCTCCCTCATTTTTCAGACTTTAGGGCTAAAAAAGCTGAAAAACTTCGATTTTTGACCGAGATTTCACTGGAAATATTGATTTTCAGTCTAAAAATCACTAAAAATCGATTTTAACCACAGAAAAATGAACAATTTCGGGTTAAAATAGGCTAAACTCGGTGAAAATCAAATTTAGGTATATTGTCTTTGAAAAATCCGAATTTGAAGCCAAAGTTAGTGTTTCAAAGCGATTTTAGCATGAAAAATCAATAATTTTGAGCTGAAAATCCCATTTTTGGCTCTGGAAAATCGATTTTTCGCACAGATTTTTCGAAAAATCGGTTTTCTAGGTGAATAAAATAGATTTTTCAGGTTTTTTAGACTTAGAATCGATGTAGAATTGCGATTTCAAAAGCAAAATTAGACCAAATTCCGATTTCTGGGCTAAAAATCGATTTTTCAACCCAAAATGCACTAACCTTGACATCGTGGAACTGCTGCAGTGAATATTGATTTTTCGGCGGTTTCAGCGGCAGAATTTGTTTCCGAGAAGAAGATGAATAGGATGCAGATGACGTGGAATTCAGATTCTGATGAATATTCTGCATATTTCCAAGACGATCCATATAAAATGAATGACAATTTGACAATAATGAGCAATCGAATTGTTTCGACATTTTTATGGATCAGGAGAAATCGATTTGATTTGATGATCACTGAAAAATTGAACAATTTGGAGGAAATTTGAAATTTCCCGGGTAGATCAAATATTGTTTTTTTTTTTGGATTTTTTGAGGAATTTTTGCCATTTTTTAGTCTGAAAATGCGTTGGAAAATCGATTTTTAGATTGAAAAATTGCTGAAAATTCGGAAAAATAATTGTGTGAAAAACTTTTTTTTTTCCGGAAATTTATACGAATTTTTCTGCAAAAAACTCAAAATTTCAGCCTTAAATTACAGCTTTTAAACACCTAAAAATTTATTTAAAAAATTTATAAAAATTTTAACATTTCGAATTTTTTAAGCTGAAAAACCCCTAAAAATCCAAAAAAATCAATAAAAATTCCTGAAAAACTCACCAAGAATTGTGTTGAAACTGAAATTTTTTCATCATTTTCCCTTTCTTTATATGTCACAATCCGTGGGAAAATGCCCATTTTCCCATGACCTCGCCGTGGGAAAGTCCGCAATTGCGCGTCGTGGTGTATGGGAACGCGGTGGGTGCACACACCACCGATGACCGTAGTCCAGCGAGAAAATAGGGACGATGTTTTTTGAAGCGATTTTTGGTTGGAAAAGTTGACTTTTAGGGTTTTCAGGGGTGAAAAATCGATTAAAAGTTATGAAGATAGTCTGAAAATGCTGTAATTAATGAAAAAATGCAGAAAATTTGAGAAAAATCGGAATTTTCAATTTTGAAGCGATTTTTGTGTGGAAAAGTTGATTTTTAAGGTTTTCAGGAGTGAAAAAATCGAAAAAGCGAATAGAAATTGTCAGAAAGTGCTGAAAATCGATGAAAATTACAAAAAATTCGGAAAAATCGGTGAAAATGATGGAAAATGGGATTTTAAAATAGATTTCCCCCTAATAAACTGTCTGTCTGTGTGTCTGTTTGTCTTAAAACACTATAAAAAACGTGCAAAAAACATTTGCCACCGATGGGATTCGAACCCGGGTGTTGAGATTTGTAAATTTCGAAAATCCCACTGAGCCATTTGACACAATTTTGGAAAAAGTCTATTTTCAAGCATTTTTGGGGTTTTTAGGGTCATTTTCCACAGTTTTCGGAGTTTTCCGGCGTTCAGTCTGCAATTTTTAGCTCTACAAACCACTAAAAATGCATTTTCACCCATTTTCGGCCAAATTCCTCTTTTCAGTCTATCTGTGTGTCTGTTTGTCCTGATCAGAAGCTGAAAATCTGAAAATTTCAGCATTTTTTGAGCTCTACACACTTTTCAAAAAAACTTGCCACCGCGAGGATTTGAACCTGGGTGGTCCGATCGGTAATGGAAAGTCCCACTGAGCCATTTGACCCAATTTTTGGAAAAGTGTGATTTTAAAGCTTTTTCGGGCATTTTAGGGCCATTTTCGGGGTTTTTATTGTTTTTGAACGCAATTTTTGTGCTTCCAAAGCTTGAAAAATTGCATTTTCATATATTTTCAGCCATTTTCGGCCAAATGCCGAGTTTCAGTCTATCTGTGTGTCTGTTTGTCCTGTTCTGGAGCCTAAAAAACTGAAAATTTCAGCATTTTTGAGCTCTACACACTTTTCAAAAAAACTTGCCACCGGAAGGATTCGAACCTGGGTGGTCCGATTGGCAGTGGAAAATCCCACTGAGCCATATGACCTAATTTTTGAAAAATTTGATTTTAAAGCATTTTTGGGCATTATAGGGTTACTTTTTATAGTTTTTAGGGTTTTCTAGCTCATTCTAAGTGTTTTTGAAGCTATTTGAACAAGTTTTTGGCTACTTTTTCAATATTTTTAGGGCAATTTTGCTGTTTTTCCTTTATAACCCCTCTATATGCATTGGGACCCTCCGTTTTCCCCCCATTTAATTATCTATCAGCTGGCAGAGGATTACTGTGGGAACAGAGGAGGGGGCATCTGCTGGTCCATTACCACCCCCTCTCTCACCATCTGCCATCCCTAAAAAAGGGGGTATTCAGATTGTTCTTTTGAGATTTCCCGCAGGTTAATGATGGATTACGCCAGGTACTTAGCACACAAATAGACACACTTGGAGACGAACAATAGATGACGCAGGCAAACAGAAGGTGTAGAAAAAAATAAACCAAAAAAGATACCTCAAAAATTGATCCAAAATCTCTGAAAATGGGACCCAAAACACCTTAAAACAGCTTTAAAAACTTGTTAAAACAGTAAAAATAGCCCGGAAACCTTTAAAACCATGAAAAATGACTCTAAAACACCCCAAAATCCTAACAATAGACAATTTTCAAAAATTGCGTCCAGTGGCTCAGTGGGATTTTCCAAAACCGATCGGACCACCCAGGTTCGAATCCTTCTGGTGGCATAATTATTTTCAAAGTGTGTAGAGATCGAAAATGCTGAAATTTCCAGATTTTCAGCGTCAGATCAGGACAAACAGACACACAGATAGACTGAAAAGAGGAATTTGGCCGAAAGTGGCTGAAAATAGATGAAAATGCAATTTTTCAAGCTTTGGGAGCACAAAAATTGCGTTCAAAAACAATAAAAACCCCGAAAACGGACCTTTTTTTTTAATTTCCAGATTTTCAGCGTCAGATCAGGACAAACAGACACACAGATAGACTGAAAAGAGGAATTTGGCTGTTTGTAGAGCTAAAAATTGCAGCCAGAACGCCGGAAAACATCAAAAACCGTGGAAAATGACCCTAAAAACCCCAAAAATGCTTGAAAATAGACTTTTCCCAAAATTGGGTCAAATGGCTCAGTGGGATTTTCGAAATTTACAAATCTCAACACCCGGGTTCGAATCCCATCGGTGGCAAATGTTTTTTGCACGTTTTTTATTGTGTTTTAAGACAAACAGACACACAGACAGACAGTTTATTAGGGGGGGGGGGACCTAAATTGGGGCTTTCAAGGCAAAAAAAGGGATTTTAGGGAGATTAAAGGTCTGAATGATCAAGAAACGAGGCATCTGAGATGTGGCTATCCTCATCATCGTAATCGTACTCCTCTTTATCCATCTCGAACATTTTTCTGATCAATTTCACCAGATAATATGCAAATAGGGTCTCCACAAAGACCACATAAATCGCTTTTAGGATAGTTGGGAACATCGCTATCGTGAAAAAGAAGACCCCAATGATGATGACCTGAAAATTACAGATTTTTACCTTTTTTTTGGGGTTTCTAGACCACCTGGCTCAGTTTTTATGATTAATTTTCATTTTTTGGGTAAGGATGGCCTAGATTTTCGGTTTTCAGGCCACCTAGAGCTTTCTAGGCCATGAAAATCATGAATATAAAATTTGAAAAAAAATCTTACCATTATAATTATCGAAAGAGTATCCGGTGAAGGTTTCAAGCAGGCGATCATGACTCTTCTCTGAAAAAAATTACCGATTTTAGACGGAAAAAAAGGCTGAAAATGACTGAAAACGATAAAATAAAAAGTTCAATGTGTGAAAAACAAACTCAGGACCCTTTAAAACCACAAAAAATGACTCTAAAACCCCCGAAAACCCGTAAAATTAGCTTCTTTCAAAAATCAGGTCAAATGGCTCAGTGGGATTTTCGATGTGAAAATCAACACCCGGGTTCAAATCCCATCGGTGGCAAATACTTTTTAAAAGTGTGTAGAGTTCGAAAATGCTGAAATTTTCAGATTTTCAGATCCAGATCAGGATAAACAGACACACAGATAGACTGAAAAGAGGAATTTGGCTGAAAATGACTGGAAATTTATATTTTGAAGCGTGTTGGGCTTAAAAATTGTGCCGGAAACACCTAAAAACCTCAAAAATCACAAAAAATTACCCTAAACTGCCCAAAAAAGCTTCAAAATCAAAATTTCCAAAAATTGGGTCAAGTGGCTCAGTGGGATTTTCGATGGGAAAATCAACACCCAGGTTCGAATCCTTCCGGTGGCATACTTATTTTCAAAGTGTGTAAAGATCGAAAATGTTGAAATTTCCAGATTTTCAGCTCCGGATCAGGACAAACAGACACACAGACAGAATGAATCTCGGAATATGGCTGAAAATGGGTGAAAATGACCAAAAACTCGATTTTTAAAGCTACTAGCACTAAAACATGCGTTTAAAACTCAAAAAACTGGTCGAGAACATTCTAAAATGAACTAAAATCCCTAAAATTTGCATTTTTCAGAAATTGGGTCAAGTGGCTCAGTGGGATTTTCGATGTGAAAACCAACACCCGGGTTCGAGTCCTTCCGGTGACAAATTCATTTTAAAAATGTGTGAATCTGTAAAAACCCAAAATAGTGGTTCAAAAGTGTCTACAATCTAGTTTTTCCAGATTTTAGCCTAAAATTTTAAGGAAAATTTTGGTTACTGTAGATTTCCAGGATCCTAGGGATATCCAAAATTAAAAAAAAAAAGATTTTTTACCGATTGCTCATACGAGCAGCCTCATTAAGGCTATTCTTTTGTTTCCCATGGTCCGCGAAAAAGTGGGCGGGGCTTGCCCTCACTATGCCATGGCAGATGGTAGATTAGATTGGTGTCCGTACGTGGTCCAAGGGATACAAATGAAATTAAGAACTCCAACAGGGACCATGGGAGCTCTTTAATCAAAAAAAATCTTTAGAAATACTATTTTTCAGATTTTCCTGATTTTCAGCAAAAAAATTCTGAAATTTCTACTACAAACTGTCTGTCTGTGTGTCTGTTTGTCTTGAAACATTATAAAAAACTAGCAAAAAACATTTGCCACCGATGGGATTCGAACCCGGATGTTGAGATTTGTAGATTTCGAAAATCCCACTGAGCCATTTGACCCAATTTTTGAAAATTGCCTGATTTTATGTTTTTCGGGCATTTCAAAGTTGTTTTTCATGGTTTTTTTGGGTTTTTGACTTTGTTTTTCATAGTTTTGATACAACTTAAACCGGTTTTAGGGCTGTTTTAGAATGGTTTGGGCCTCATTTTCATAGTTTTCGAAAATGTTGGCTTACATTTTGAAGATTCTATAGGCAATCAAAGTGTCACAGATTGATTTTTAGGGCCTTGAGGATTACTGTAATAGATGTCAGTTGTCACTTGTCGCTTCCTAATTGCTTATTGCTCATCCTAATTTCGATCTACACAGAGAAAAGGATGCCCCACAGGAAAAAAGGGGGCGGAGCCTGGGGGAGAAAAGGGGCGGAGTCTAGAAAGGGGGTCCCTTCGGTCTAGAGTGTCGCCTCCAAATCATTTTATTCTTTTTTTTTCTTTTTTGGTCCAAAAACTACAGTAATCTCTAAACTTTTAAAGGAACATGCCGTCGACCGCCTCGACCGTCATTTCGACCGTGGTCGACTACGGTCGATTCATTGGATTGGGGCTGGCATTGATTCTTGCCCTTGCTACAATACTTGTCGGTTTTGTAGGCACTTTTGGGCCACATTGGGCATTTGCTCTTGTGAGTTTTTTTGAAATTTTATTTTCGGCCGACCGCGGTCGACCGCCACAATGTTTTTTCAAAAAATTCGGTATCAAATTATTTGTCATGTTTTGCGGTTGGAATGCATTCAATTTGAGCTCTTGAAGTTTTCTAGAAAGTATGTTACAGCCATTTTTCTGATTTTCATCCGAATAATCTGAAAATCGAAAATTGTCAGATTTTTAGGTTTTTAACGCCAAAATGTTTGCCTTGTTATGGCAATTCGAACGCACCTAATTTCAGCTTTCAGAACCTTCTAGAACAATTTCTATAACCGTTTTTCCGATTTTCAGCCAAAAAATCTGAAAATTCGAAATTTGGCTATAAAAACTTTTCTAGAGGGGCTTAGGCAACAAATTCAAATGCATTCAAATTGCCAAAACACGGCAAATATTTTGACATAAAAAATTTGAGAATCTAAAAATTTTCAGATTTTCAGATTTTTTGGCTGAAAATCGGAAAAATGGCTGTAAAAATTGTTCTAGAATGTTCCGAAAGCTGAAATTAGGTGCATTTAAATTTTCGCAACAAGGCAAACATTTTGGCATCAAAAACTTGAAACTTTGAATTTTCAGATTTTCAGATTTTTTGGCTGAAAATCGAAAAAATTGCTATAAAAAATTTTCTAGAAGGTTTCAAGAGCTCAAATTTGGTGCATTCGAATTGCCAGAAAATGGCGGATGTTTTCAATTTAAAAATTTTGATTTTCAGATTTTTCAGATTTTCAGCCAAAAATCAAAATTTCAGATTTTTCCAAAAAAAAATTTTTTAGACCCCAATTTTTTCAAAAAAATTTCAAATATTCAGATGACTGTGGTCGCTTGGAATGTGCTTACCGTATTTCAAGGCTTCATAGAGTACATACATCTGCGAAGGGACATGGAAGATGTGGATTGGTATTTCAAAAATTTGAAAATCAAAATCCCTGCCGAGAAGACGTTGGGCTGGTTTCCATGGTGGGAGACAATTATCGTTATCAGTTTGGCACTTTGGTTTTGGCACCCGTTTTATGCAGCGATTTTGACATTGGTGAGTCTTTTTGCAGTCTGAATTGCGTTTTTCAAAGTTTAGAGGCTTACAAAAGTAGGTCAAAGTTGTCAGAGGAGTTTGAAAGTTTTACAGTATATTAAATAAAATACAGGCTTCATTTTTGTAGTTGACACTTTTTTTTGAAAATTAAGTCCTAGGGAGATATGCTAATTTTCCTAAAGACCAGTCAAAATTCGGAAATTTTGGTCAAAATGACATATTTCGATTGTCTGAAAATCTAGGTCAAACTTTTTCGATTTGTCTGAAAATTTCAGAGTACACTAAACAAAACAAGAGGTTTCTTTTTTTAGCTGACAACTTTTTTGAAAAATCAAGTCCTAGAGAGATACGCCACGTGGAAGCGGGCTACCTCTCCTAGGCTCCAGGCTTCTGATGCGGCATATCTCCCTAGGACTTGATTTTTCAAAAAAGGTGTCAACTACAAAAATGAAGCTCAGGTCGTGTTTAGTATAATCTGAAACTTCCAGACAAAATGAAATGGTTTGCGCTAAGTTTTCAGACAGCCGAAAAATGATATTTTTGACCGAAATTTCAATTTTTCACTTATTTTGGGAATTGGGCTATATCTCCCCAAAACATGATTTTCCAAAAGAAGTGTTAACTACAAACATGTAGCTCTAGTGCTGTTTAGTATGCCCTGTAATTTTCAGACAAATCTGACTACTCTGATATCCTTCTATCACAGTAGTTCTGTAACTCCCTGAAAACGCTGGAAAATCATCTTTTTCATGCCCAAAATTCAAGGAAACCTCAAAATTTTGATGTTTTATCTTTGTTAGAGCCTTAACAAAGCTCTAAGAAAAGAAAAAAAACAAAAAACCACCCAAGGGGGTCGAACCCCAGAGTGTCGGATTCAAAACAAGATGCTTTGCCGCCTGCGCTACAACGGACACACCCCGTAGACAGCGTGGAAAGCGTATAAGAAGAGGGAGGGTGGTGGCGCCGGGCGGCGAAGGGGGAGGGTGGATTTTCAGAATTTTTTAATTTAAAAAAATTCAAAAATTCAAATTACTGTAACTTTTACAGTTTTAGACGGATTTTTGTGATTTTTATACTAAATTTTTTGCAGTGTATCCTTGTCTTGTACTCCTACACCTTCCTGGACCTGCTCCAGAAGCGTCTAGAAGAGATCTACGAGGTCAGCGAAGTCATGTACAAGCAAATGGATTATTTCTTAAAATTGCAAAAATTCCAAGAAGAAAGTGGAGATTTCTATATTGTCGACGATGTCGAAGTAGAAGAAGAAGCGGGAAATTCAAAAAGTCCAATAAATCCAAAAGTAGATGGAGTTTTTAAAAATCCCTTTAATTGGTCCAGATGCATGTTCTTGATTGGGGTACTTTTGATAGAGAGTCAATGGATCGGATGGGATTATTTTGCGGTATGATTATTGATTTTTTTGAGCTAGGAATTTTGAAAAAATTGAAAAAAAATTAAATAAAATTTTTTTTTTTGAAAATTTTTTTAAATAATTTTTAGGTCCTCTTCCTGGCTTATAACTTTCATCAAACCAATATCAACGCGGAAGTCGAAAAGATTAAAATGATTTTCACTGGATACGATGAGGAAGTTTTGGAATGTCTAAAGGACATCAAGAAGTTCCAGAGGAGCCGGAAAAATTAAATTTTTTGAATTTTCATTCTTCTAAATAAGCTCAGAAAACCCTAAAAATTCAAAATTATGAAAAAATTTAAAAAAAATTAAAAAAATTTTTTTTGAAATTTTTCAATTTTTTCAAAAATCTCCACCCATTTTCATGATTTTCAGAATTTTTCAAGTTCAAAAAATTTCTGAAAATCGCTCTTTTTCCCTTTATTTCCATTTTGTTATGTTTCCTCCAATTTCCCTCTCTGAGTTTGATGATTTATAATGAAAATAAAAGTTTTAAAACAATATTTTTAACTTTTCCCCAGGATTCTAAGAGTCAAAAAACTGAAAAAAACTGTTTAGTGTACACTGAAATTTTCAGACAAATTGAAAAACTTTGACCTACTTTAGTAGACCTCTAAACTTTGTTTCCCTCTAGCACTGAAAAAAAACCCCCGAAAAATCATATTTTTTGATTCGAAAATTTAGAAAATCTAAAAATTCTGACTAATCACCTCCTTCAAAGCCTTTATAAAGCTCTAAAAAGAATAAAAAAGCAAAAAACCACGCAAGGGGTTCGAATCCCAGAGTGTCAGATTCAAAACTAAGAACTTTACCCCTACACCACGGCGGACACAACTGATGGAGAACGCGGAAGGCGTATAAGAAGGGGAAGGGCGGTAGCGCCGTGCGGCGAGGGGGAGGGATTTTCATAATTTTTCAATTCAAAAAATTCAAAAAATTCAAATTACTGTAACTTTATCATTTTCAGACGGATTTTCATGATTTTTGAACCAATTTTTTGCTCTTTTTGGTATATTTGCAGTGTATCCTTGTCTTGTACTCCTACATCTTCTTGGACCAGCTCCAGAAGCGTCTAGAAGAAATCCACGAGGCCCATGATGTCATCACTCGGCAAATGGAGAAATTCCGGAAATTCCAAGAAGAAATTGACGATTTCGATGTTGTCGAGGAAGCGGAGGAAGCGGGAAATTCAAAAATTCCAAAAATCGAAAAAATTGAAATTCTCGAAAATCCCCTAAACTGGGCCATATGCATCTTCTTGTTTGTGGTTCTTGCAGCAGAGAGTCAATCTTGGGGATTCGACGGTTTTGCGGTAAGAAAATCGATTTTTTTGGCTTAAATGTTTGAAAATTTCAGAAAAAAAAAATTTTTGAAAAATTTTTTTTTTTCGAAAATTGAAAATTCGAAATTTTAAACTTTTCAAGATAATTTTTTTCAGCTCCTTTTCCTTGCCTACACATTCCATCAAACAAATATCATGATGGAATTCCACCGGATTCGATCGATTTTCAAATGCTACGATCTGGAAGTTTTCGAATATCAAAAGGAGATTAATCAGTTCAAAAAGAGCTGGAAAAATTGATTTTTTTTTGTAATTTTAAGCTATAAAAATCGCTGGAATTTTCCCAAAAGTTTCGAAAATTCCAAAAAAAAAAAAATTTTTAATATTTTTTTTCAACTTCTTCCTTTCTTTTCACATGTTTTCAGCAATTTTAGCATGTTTTTAAGTTTCAAAAATCCCTAAAAAGTACCTAAATTCCTCCTTTCACCTATTTTCCAAATTTTTTTTGAAAAAATCATTTTTCCCCTATTTTTGGCTATTTTTCCCTGTCAAATTTTAAAAAATTTTAAATAAAATATTTTTTTAATCCTATTTTTTTTGTTTTTCCACTTTTTCCAGGATTTTTAGACTTTTTTCAGCGAAAAAAAGCGAAAAAATTGCTGAAAAATTATTCTAGGTCCGCAAGGTGGCGTTGCGGTGTTTGCGTACGCAATGCATCATTTGCGCGTAAGGTCATTTTTCAGCGATTTTCAGCATTTTCTAGCTTAAATTCCAGGTTTTGCAGCGATTTTCAGGGCTTTTTAGGTAGATTTTCAGCATTTTCAACGTCGGAAATGTATATTTTCGCCCGAAAATTGCTATAAACAATGGAATTTGAAGGTAAACGGAGAGGAAATGTAAACAAAGGCCCTGCGGACGACAAGAACCTGTTCCGGATGACAATTGGATGATTTTTGCCGATTTTTCTATTGATTTTCGCCTTTTTAATAAAGAATTCTATTGAAAAATCATGTCTTTTTGTTGTTTCCTATTATGTGTCACCCCGCTAGTTGTCCTATTTCTTTGGCTGGAAAAGTTTGAAAAATTCCAGAGAAATCTGAAAATTTCAGAAGAAAAAATGGGTGGCAAGGAGAAAGAAGTGGACTATTTGCACATTTTAAAAGAGCAATTTAATGCTCTTCAGGTGAGATTTTTTTGAAAAAATTGAAATTTTAAAATTTCGAAAAAAAAATTTTTTCGAATTCTTGGCTGAAAATTTTTTTTTTAAATTCTGAAAATCATATTTTTGGCTTGAAATAAAGGCTGAGAAAAATTTTTGAAAAAAATAATAAAATTTTCAGAAAAAAAATTTTTTTTTTGGAATTTTCAAAAAATCAAAAATTATCAGAAAATTATTATCAATTTTTGCAGTCCGAACATCTGGAGCTCCGTCGAAAATACGATTTACAAAACGCCTCATCGAATTCCGCGAATTCAGAAGACACCCTACCGTCACGTCTTCTGACCCTGACGTCGTCTCTACTGGAGAAACCAAAATTCAGCGATGTGAAATTCAAATTTCCCGCCGCCAAAATCTCCAAAAACGACGACGTCGAAATTCCGGCGCACAAATTCGTCCTGGCCGCCAGAACCGACTTTTGGAAGCTGGATTCAGATGACGTCACGATTCTGGAAATTCCAGATGACGTCGATTCAGATGCTTTCCACGTGGCGATTCGATGGATTTATACAGATGAAATTGATTTGACAATGAGCGATGAGCAATTGCTGAAAGTTTGCGAAACGGCCGCCGCGTTTCGACTGGAACCACTCAAAAATGTGTGAGTTTTTGCGGTGGAGCGCACTTGCATTTTCATTCCGAAACATGAAGAAAATGTGTAGGAAAATATCCGAAATTGATTCCAGCAAAAATTAGCGTTCTAGGTGCGAAACTAAGCGAGTTGTGACAAAAGTTCGGTAGAGCGCGCTTGCAATATGTTTCAGGATTTCTAGTTGTGATGCCTTATATGGACTAGATAACGATGTTAAATCGATTACAAAACAAACTAGCCAAAAATCACAAAAACTAAGCGAGTTAGAATAAAAGTTCAGTGGAGCGCACTTGCATTCAACTCTGAAAATTTTGATTTTAGATTCGATTCTGACTAAATCGATAGTTTCAAATCGATTGCGGCCAAAATCCGCTTTCTAGCTGCAAAACTAAGCGAATTATAGAGAAATTTCAGTAGAGCGCACTTGCAGTAAAATTGGAAAATGTAGGTTTTAGACTTGTTTTTGACTAAATCGTTAGTTTCAAAGCGATTCCAACAAAAATTAGCGTTCTAGCTAATAAAAGAAGCGAGTTATGACAAAAGTTCGGTGGAGCGCACTTGCAGTCAACGTTTTGAATTTTGAATTTCACGCTTCCTTGACTAAGTCAATGGTTTCTGATCGATTATACTTAAAATTAGCGTTCTAGCTGCAAAACTAAGCAAGTTATAGAGAAAGTCCGGTAGAGCGCACTTGCAATATTTTTCAGGATTTTGAATTTGAATGTCTTTTATGGTCGAGATAACGATTTTAAAACGGTATCAACAAAAATTAGCTTTCTATCTCTAAATCTAAGCGAGTTATAACAAAAGTTCAGTGGAGCGCACTTGCTATCAACTCTGACAATTTTGATTTTAGGCTTGCTTCCGACTCAATAGATGGTTTAAAATCGATTCCAAGCAAAATAAAGTGCCTACCTCTCTAACTTAGCGAGTTGTAGCAAAAGTCCGGTAGAGCGCACTTGCAATCTAGTCGAAAAATTTCGAGATTATTTTCGATTTCGACTAAACCGATGATTTCAAATCGATTCCAAGCAAAATAAAGTGTCCATCTCTAAAACTAGTTGAGTTATGACAAAAGTTCAGTGGAGCGCATTTGCTGGCAATTCCGAATTTTCTGATTTTTGGCTCGATTTCGACTGAATCAGAAGTTTTAAATCGATTGCAGTCAAAATCAGCATTCTAGCTGAAAAACTAAGCGAATTATAGAGAAAGTTCAGTGGAGCGCACTTGCAGTCAAATTGGAAAATGTTGATTTTAGACTTGTTTTCGACTAAATCGATAGTTTCAAATCGATTCTGATCAAAATCAAAGCTCTATCGCTTAAACTAAGCGAGTTATGACAAAAGTTCAGTGGAGCGCACTTGCATTTTATTCGAATTCAAATTTTCAGATGCATCCAACAACTGGGCGCTCGTCTCAACGTGGACAATTGCATTCAAATCTACGAATTCGCCGAAAAACAGTCGCTCCGCCCACTTTCTACAGTATGCGGCACGATGATCGCCTCGTCGTGGGACCAGCTAGGCCCCGCCCACTTTGCAAGTATGACCGCCCCACTGTTGTATCGATTGATTGATGGGTAGGTTGAGTCGAGAAAAATTTTTTTTTTGAATTTTCTTTTGGCGGGAAGTTCAAATTTTTTCAGAAATACAGCAAATGTGCTCCATTCGATAGTCTCCATTGGTCGGGAAGACGTGCTATTCTTGTATTTTATGCAGAATTCTGGAAAAATGCCTGCATGTCTAAATGAGCTGGATTCAGATGGTGCTTCTGCGTTGGAGAAAGCACTGTGCTCAGATCGTAAGTGCGCTCCACTGAACTTTCTTTATAACTCGATTAGTTTCAGAGATAGAGCTCTGATTTTGATCGCAATCGATTTAATCGAAATCGAATCTAAAATCAAAGTTTTCAAAGTTGACTGCAAACGCGCCCTACTGAGCTTTTGTCATATCTTGCTTAGTTTTGCAGCTAGAAAAGTTATTTTAATTGCAATCAATTTGAAATCATTGATTTAGTCGGAAACAAACCTAAAATCAAGAATTTTCAAGTTTAATACAAATGCGCTCCACTGAACTTCTGCTATAACTCGCTTAGTTTCGCAGCTAGTAAGCTAATTTTAATCGCAATCGATTTGAAACTATTGATTTAGTCGGAAACAAACCTAAACACAAAATTTTTCGAGATCAAATGCAAGTGCGCTCCACTGAACTTTTGCTATAATTCGCTTAGTTTTGCAGCTAGAAAGCTGATTTCGACTGCAATCGATTTCAAACTTATGATTCATTCGAAATCAAGACAAAAACCAAAAATTTCTAGATTGACAGCAAATGCGCTCTACTGAACTTTTGTCATGGCTTGCTTAGTTTTAAAGTTAGACGCTTCATTTTAATCGCAATCGATTTAAAATCATCGTTTCAGTCGAAACCAAGTATAAACTTAGAAATTTTCAAATTGACAGCAAGTGCGCTCCACTGAACTTCTGCTATAACTCGCTTAGTTTTACAGCTAGAGAGCTAGTTTTTGTTGGAATCGATCTGAAATTGTTAGTAACGTCTCTGTAGGGCTCAAAATCTAGATTTATAAAATCGAAAAATGCAAATTCGCTCCACCGAACTTTCCAAAGTTCCAGACCAAAAATCGCCGTTGATTGCTCAGCAACTCATCGAAAAAGGTGCAGATGTGAATGTAAAGGATACGGAGAGAGGCGAGACGGTTCTAATGAGGATGTGTAGAAATGGTAGGTGGCCTAGAAATCCAAAAAACTCGGCCATATTGGGAAAAATGGCTAAACCGCACCAAAATTGATCGATTTTGGCCGTTTTTTCCGCGAATTTTCTGATTTTTTGACAAATAATGGCCTAACTAATTTCAGACAATATCTCGGCCATGGATTTCCTGATGAAGCACGGAGCAGACGGACGGATCTGTCAGAGTCCCGGGGACTATAACGTGGTCCACGTGGCAGCCAGAATTCCGTCTTTACAGCTGGCAAAATGGATTGAGGAGAATAAGGAAAATCTGGATATGAATAAAATCGATGCGGAAGAAAGGTTGGTGGCTAGAAATACTCGGAAAAATGACGAGAAACGAGTCGTTTTGAGCAATTTTAGGCTATTTTTGAATTTGGTGGCCTAGAAATCCCAACAGTTCGGCCATGGAATATCCCAGAACATCAAGGATCAGAAAATGACAAAAAATCGCAAAAAATTGAACCCGAATAGCCTATTTTAAGCCATTTTACGAACGTGGCCGAGTTTTGGTTTCCTAGGCCACTATTCATAACTTGGCTCCTAGGTGGCCTAGAAAGTTAGTTTTTAGACTGTTTTGGCTGAAATTTTGTGCTTTTTTAGGCCTGAGACATTTCAATGCTGTCGGTGGCCTAGAAATTTGAAATTTTGGATTTCTAGGCCACCATTCATAACACGGCTTTCCGATGGGCTAAAAACTCAAAACCTGGGCCATTTTGTTTCCCGAGCTATTCGAAATTAGCACATCAACGAAAGCTAGTGAAAAATTAAGCCCAAATAGTCCATTTTAAGACATTTTATCAAGATGACCGAGTTTTGGTTCCCTAGGCCACTATTCATAACTTGGCTCCTAGGTGGCCTAAAACCCAATTTTTGAACCATCTTGTATGAAATTTTGCGCTAGAAAAGATCTGAGTTATTTCGGGGCTGTTTGTGGCCTAAAAAGCCGGAAATTTGGATTTCTAGGCCACCACCCATAACTCGGCTCCCAGGTGGCCTAGAAACCGAAAACCTAGGCCACCTTGTTTCCCAATCTATTTGGAATTGCTGAGCTAAGAAAAAGGGCAAAAATTCAGCCCGAATAGCCGATTTTAAGCTATTTTATCAAGATGACCGAGTTTTGGGTTTCTAGGCCATGATTCATAACTTAGCTCCCAGGTGGCCTAGAAATCTCGTTTTTGAACTATCTTGGTTGCGATGTTATGCTTTTCATAATCCAGGTCATTTCGAGACTGTTGGTGGCCTAGAAATCCGAAAGTTTGGATTTCTAGTCCCCGTTCATAACTCAGCTCCCCGGTGGCCTAGAAACCTCGTTTCAACAGCTTAGAATCCCAAATTTTTGCAGAACTCCACTGATGTGTTCAGTGATAGCAAACAATCACATTATCTGTGAATCCCTGATCCGTACGGGCATTGCTCATCTCGACGTGGCCACTTCAGAAGGCCACACGTCCCTCTCGACATGTCTTCTGATGTCAGAATTCCCGAATCGTCGAATTTCGGAGCTGCTGATTCTGAACGGAGCGAATGTGAATTTCCGCATCTACAGTAGTCAGGTGCCACTGATCAATGAGATTGTAGCTAGAAGGGATACGGTAGGTGTGGAGTCTCTTCTGGCTGCTGGAGTGGATTGCCACGTGGCAGATTCTCAAGGAAAAACTGCATGCCACGTGGCGGCGGATTCAGAAGCACTCGAAATTTTGAGCCGGATAGTGGAGGCGAGACGAGGGCTACGGTGGCCGAGAGATGCGGAGGATAAGACGGCATTGGATATTGCGCTAGAGAAACGAAATCTCAAATTGGCCAGGATTTGTATAAAGGGTAAGATATGCATTCGGGTTTGTCGAGCACAAAATTTCAGACAAAATAGTCCAAAAATTGGGTTTCTAGGCTATCGGGGAGCCGAGTTACGCTCTAGATAGAGTGGTGGCCTATAAATCTTTTTTTTTTGGTTCCTAGGCCACCAACACCGCTGAAATAACCCAGGTTTTAAAGTGCACAAAATTTCACGCTAGATAGTTTTTGAATCAGCTCTCTAGCTCCCCTGGGAGCCCAGTTAGGAGTGATGGCCTAGAAATCCAAAACTCGGCCATCTTGGTAAAATGGCTTAAAATAGGCTATTTGGGCTGATTTTTCGCTAGCAGTTGATTGCTGAGCAGTTTCAAATAGATTGGGAAACAAGCTGGTCGAGTTTTGGGTTCCTAGACCACCTTGCGAGTGGTGGCCTAGACATCCAATTTTCAGGGGTTTCTAGGCCACCAACCTTCATGAAATTATCTAGGTTTGAAAGTCTACAAAATTTAACACAAAATATTCCAAAAACTGGCTCTCTAGCTGGCCTAGAAGCCGAGTTATGAAGGTGGCCTAGAAACCCAAAATTCGGCCATCTTGGTAAAATGGCTCTAAGTGAGCTGATCAAGCAGAATTGTGGCCCATTCTTGTTGTTTAACAATTTCAAATAGATTGGGAAACAAGCTG